TGATTAATATTAATAATAATGTTTAATTATAATAATAATAATAATTTAATGTGTGATTGGAAACTGAAAGGAAAGTGCAAAAGATCTTTGTGTACGTTACAATTTACAAAGTTATAGCAACTTTAAAATTTATAAATAATATAATAATAATAATAATAATAATAATAATAATTAATTATGCCACGTCAACGGGTTGGGTCAACGGGTTCATGGGTTTAGAAACTAAAACCCAATACCCGAACCAAATCTATACGGGTTGTTACGGGTTGGGTCGGGTATACCCGTAAATGAATGGGTCCGGGTAATTAGTGGGTTGGTTCGGTTTGGGTAGACGGGTTTGCGGGTCGACCCGCACCCATGAACACCCCTATTTGGAGGATGGTGTTGAAGATGATTCTCCTACATTTAATATTCTCACTTGGTGGAAAGGAAAAACAAATAAATATCATGTGCTTTCCCGCATAGCTAGAGATATATTGGCTATCTATGTATCCACTGTATCTTCTGAATCCGCTTTTAGTACAGGAGGTCGTGTCCTTGAGCTTCAGAGTTTCCAGCTTCAGATGGTTGACTTCCTCTAGATCTTTGACCATCTTCAAGATCTGGCATATTTTCAGAGTCTTGGCCATCTTCAGAGTCTGAATTTCCACCAGAATCTGGATTACCATCAGAGTCTGGATCATCAGAGTCACCTTCATCTTCTGAGTCTTCTTCAGAGTCAGAATCACTATCAGAGTCAGAATCAACGTCAGAGTTTACTTCAACTTCAGAAATTCTTAACTCTGACATTTCTTCAGAAGTTCTAACATCAGAATCAGATTGAGACTTATCCCAATTCCAAACTTCTGATTCCTTCACAATCACATCTCTGCTGAATTCAATTTTGTTGGTTTCTGGACAATAGAGCTTGTATGCACCTGTACTGTGGTACCCTATCAGAATCATCACTTTGCTTCTATCATCCAGCTTCTGTCTTCTGGCTTCTGGAACATGTTTATAGCAAACAGAACCAAACACCTTCAGATGACTAACACTTTGCTTGTCTCCAGTCCACTTTTGCATAGAAATTATTTCCTTCAACTTCTTCGTAGGACATCTGTTGAGTACATACGTTGCAGTGGCAACAGCTTCTCCCCAGATCTTCTGAGGAAGCTTCTTCTCCTTTAGCATGCTTCTCACCATATCAAGCAAAGTACGGTTTCTTCTTTCAGCAAGACCATTGTGTTGAGGGGTATAAGGAGCAGTAACCTCATGCTCAATTCCATTCTCCTCACAGAACTTCTGGAACTCTTTGGAGTTATACTCACCTCCACCATCAGTTCTAAGAATCTTCAACTTCTGACCACTCTGATTCTCAGCCTTCATTCTGAACTTCTTGAATTCATCAAACACCTCATGTTTAAATTTAATAAGGGATACCCATGTCATTCTTGTGAATTCATCAATAAACAACACAAAGTATTTATTCCCTCCAATTGATGCTACTGGAAATGGACCACACACATCAGAATGTACAACTCCCAAGGCATGTTTTGCTCTTGGAGCAACTTCTGACGCAAATGGCAAACGTGGTTGTTTTCCTTCCATGCAAACTTTGCATGACTTCTCAGGCTTCTTAATTGCAGGAATTCCATGTACCAGCTTCTTTGAATTCAAATGTTTTAAGCTTCTGAAATTCAAATGACCAAATCTTCTGTGCCACAGCTCACTCTGCTTCTCAGCACATGTTGCACTAAGACATTCTGAGTCTGCAGTTCTGACATTCACCTTGAATGTTCTATTTCTTCCCTGTTCTGACTCCATAATCAACTTCTGATTGTAGTCATACAGCTTCAGAAGATTGTCCTTCATGGTAACTGAAAAACCTTTCTCAATTAATTGTCCCACACTCATCAGATTGCTTCTGATGCCAGGTACATACCACACGTTCTGAATCAATGCTGTTTTCCCATTGTTCAGAGTCACTCTGACATTTCCCATACCTTCTGCATTAAGATATTTGTCATCAGCACATCTGATCTTTGTTCTCTTTTCAGAGTCAAAGTCAACCAATCATTTCTTGTTTCCAGTAAGATGATTTGAACAGCCAGTGTCCATATACCACCAGTCTGTCAGATCATCAGATTCAGAGGCCATCAATAGCACAGATTCGTCATCAGAACTTCTGGCTATATTTGCTTCTTCTGATTTTCTCTCTTTGTTTGACCAACAATCTCTAGCAAAGTGACCAAACTTCTTACAACAGTAACATTGGATCTTCTTCTTGTCATACTTCTCTTTTCCCTTCTGAGCATTCTTTTGTCTATCATAGGTTGAGCTTTCTGACTTCTGACCACCATCAGATCTTCTCTTGGCTTCTGACTGCTTCTGATACCTTCTATCAGAAGTTGCTTTCAGAGCCTGCTGCTCTACTTCCCTTTTAGAAGTTCTCTCAGTCAAACGCAACTCTTGCGCTTCTAAACTGCTCTGCAGCTCTTCAATTCTCATGATACTCAGATCTTTGGAATGTTCTATTGCTACCACAATGTAATCAAATTGAGAGGTAAGGGATCTCAATACCTTCTCCATGATTGTTTCTTCAGAAAGAGTTTCTCCACACGCCTTCATCTCATTAGTGATCAGAATCACTCTGGAGATGTATTCAGAAACTTTCTCATTATTCTTCATGTTGAGATTCTCATATTGCTTTCTTAAGGACTGAAGCTTCACCTTCTTCACTGATGCGTCACCACCATAACATCTAACCAGTGTGTCCCACGCAGCCTTTGCTGTCGTTGAATCTGCAATCTTCTCAAACACATTTACATCAACACATTGATGAATAAAGAATAATGCTTTCTGATCCTTCTTCCTTACTTCCTTCTGCGCATTTTTCTGTTCATCCGTTGCATCTGCTGCTACCGGAACATAACCATCAGTGACAAGATCTAAAACATCTTGAGCACCAAACAGTACACGCATTTGGATCATCCAACGATTCCAGTTTTTACCGTCAAATACTGGAAGCTTGGTGTTTATGTTGCCGTTTCCGTTCATCTTCACCTTGCACAATACACTCAGATTTCTCACACAGTGTTTCCCAACCCACAGAATAAAATTCTGATCAGATTTTGTTCAAGATTCAACACGAATCTAAGAATCAAAATCAAACACACAAGACCTCACGTTCACTCGTGTTTCCCGTGTTTCCCAATGAATCTGAACCGGAGCTCTAGATACCAATTGTTGGTGCAAAGGTAGAATAAATGATGAAAGGTAGAAAATATTCTATTAAGAATGACGGCAGAAAAACATGATTAAAGTTACAATGATTGTCACCCTATTTATAAGCTAAAACTAGGGTTACTAGAATAAGATAAAATACTAAAATACCCTCTAACAAACTTAGGGGCTAAGAAAATAGTACAACTATATAAATATGAATTACTATTAATAATTTAATATTCTAATAATTACAACTTAGAAAACTTCTATATATACTAAACTAAAGATAACCATCTCCGACAACTTATTCTTAAAGAATCGACATCTCTTCAAGAACATGCAACTTGACCTTCTGATGCAATGACGTGTTGTCAGTACTTGAAAACTGTTGAAAAGCATTATCCCATGTTTGTAACTGCTCTTAGCGTTTAGTAATTGCTTACTTGTCGAAGATAATTGTTGACAGCGCTAAGACCCATATCCAGTCTTTAGTTTTCAAAATCTTCTAAGTCTTTGAAGTCCGTCAAACGCTTCGATTCGACATGTTGTCAAACGATCAGTTAGATACGTTTCTAAAATTCCTTCTAAAATTCCTCCAAATCATATCTCAAAATCTGCTCTTGATATTTTTCCAAAGTCTCAAGATTTACTCTTAAAATTCTTCTAAATCATATTTTAGAATGCTAATTAAAACGCTCTAGTCGATGTATTCATTCTTATTAACTCATGTCATTCAATGTTAATACTTAACATACTTTAACATTTTTTCATTACAACATTTAATTGACTTATTTTCAATTTTTTTTCAATACAGACATTCAATTGACTTGTTTTCAAATAAAAATTTCAAGCTAATAGGCAGATTATAATGCATTATCAGGTATTTGTGGAAGTCCACATATATCATTTAAAAAATAAAAAAAATTATTATCTTAATTATGTAGAACTTTTTCTCCCTATTTTAACACCACAAATACGAATTACCCATAACGATATTAACACATTGCATTTTCACTTTGACGAAGAAACTATTAATCAAACAATAAATATAAATTAAAACATTAAGTTAATATTTCTTTGAAGTGACTAATATTTATTTTTAATAAGAACATATTTTAATAAATTTACTCATTTAATAGTGAATAAGGATATGCACGAATATGGATACCAATATACCCACCTCAAAAAAAAAAAAAAAAAAAACATTATAGTACTGAATTGTCATCCAGAATTTCTCACTAATCATCCGGTACAAGCAGTCACATGTAGCTTAAGTCACTGCGCAACATGGCTAACCTTAAGGCACAAGCATAACAAGCTAACTTGCACAACCTAATTGAGTGCGAGCTTAATATGGTCGAGTTGAGCTAAACATGACTTGAATAGTCAAAACTAGTATAGTGCTGATTAAGACTTGGTTGGTCAACTTGAAATGTTGGGAGCCAGGTAATATAGAGTCATCCCTACAAATCCACTGTCCAACCAATATCAAGTATGTTAAGACTTAGACATTTGTTCTTTTTCAGGTCGACCTATATCAGTCCTCGTCCTATCCGACATACTGTACACACTAAACTAATCATGATAAATAAACTTCATTGTTTCATGATGTTGTCCCAAAAAGGCAGCGGTTAGTGACTTTGACATGGCTATTATCTTTCCTCATTAAAAAAATCGTCAACCTAGTACTTGTTCAATAAAATAAAAAACATAAGACTTATTTCAATTAACCTTCCTTCTCGATTTATTGTTCAAGATATCTAACTTCAAAATTTTCATGAATATAATGAAAACTATTATAAATCTAAATCACCAAGACAATCAAGTGCAGCATCAACATCAGGGGTTACAGTAGCAAGCTTGCTGATCTCCCCAATTGAGCTACAATGCTTTTCAGCAGCATTCATTGCAACCAACTCTTGACTAAATATACAATTCATACCCGATGAAACCTGCAACCATTTAAATAAATAACACAAATTTAGCTTAAGCAAAGAGAAACCTATTGTAGTCAAGCTATGCATTAACTAGAGGTACAGAAATACCTAGAAAAACTAAAAGAAAAATTATTAAGAAAATTTTTTAGATTAATAAATTGGATAGAAACACGGTCTTATATAAAACATTATGGCAGAAATTGATCCATATAATTGAGTCCATTAAGTGAGATAAGACTTGATTGTTGTCATTGTATGGATAAACAAAAATGACATCCATGGAACATCCAGAATACCTTATCCATTCCACCTGTCTATTGCATCATCCCCATTTTTGAGCTCAAGTCAATTATTATTGTTGACTGACTTCCATTTTTACATGTTTTATTTCCATTATATATCAATTATTTCCAGTATTAATTCAACTGTTTTTAGATAAAAATTGGCCTCAATGATTAGTATAATTCGAGCCAACTCCTTTATGTATTATTATCCAACTTTGATGTAAATTTCCTGTATCTCAAATGAGAATTTGGGAGTAGATTATCTTTAAAATTCTGACCTCTAGACATTTCACATTCTTTCACTTGAGAATTTGTGACATTACTCAATTTTAGGAAATTTTTTATTTGAGAGAACATTTTCTGTGATGCAAGAAAACCTTAGGAATTAAACTTGTTCCGTGTCCAACACGCATCGGTGTCTAACCCTCATATGACACATGTCTGACAACTCAGACAAGTATCTCAACAAAAACTCTTTGTTTTAACACACCTTAGACACTTCTTCGGGGAATAAAATACATAGAAACATTGATGATCAATGAAAGAATTAGGACATTAAATTCGATCATGTCAATTTTGGCTTTTTTAATAACTTCTTTGTAATAAGCAAATTGCTCACATAAAATGCACATATATCATTTAATTCTCATTTTAATTACTTCATAAAGAATTTTCATATTTTATTTAATATAAATAATATATGGACGGTGTCAGTGTCTAAAAATTTTTATATTAACAATGTGTCCGTTTTCGTATCCAGGACAGCGTGTATGTGTCCAGTGACACACTGACAGTGTGTATGTGTACTAGATGTGGCAATAAAATCCATTTAGATAATATCCATCCAATCCATCCAATAATTTATCCATCCAATCCATCCATAAGACAAAAAATAATTTAATGGATTTGATCCAATCCATCCACTAACTCATATGGATGGATTCAATTCATCCATCTCATTTTATAAATCCATTGGATATTATGTTGTCACTCATTAAATTAAGAATTTTTAAATTAATTTTTTGGATGGATGGATATCCATCCATTAGAAATATGTTAATGGATGGATTTGATAGATTTTATCTTTTAATGGATGGATTGGATTGGATTTTTATTAAGAGAGTTTAGTGGATTGTTAATGGATTAGTGGATTGTTAATGGATTAATGGATTGTTTTGATCCATCCATTAACAATCCAATCCATATCCATCCAATCCATCTATTTTGCCACCCCTAATGTGTACGTGTACGTGTAAGACCAGTGTTAAAATATGTGCTTCATAGAACACTTCTTATTTCCATTTCATGATTTTACTTTTAATTTCAAAGTTGTCACCTGGTTTTCATTGTGTTGAGAACAACTTTCTTTGTTAATGCCATCATTTTCTCCATAAAACATAGGTACGGGTAAGACATTTCATTGTGTTGACTATTGAGTATATTAAAAATAAGAACTGAGAAAATACTGCTAGATATGCATCTTGTAATTTATCTTATGAATGCAGTACTTACATCATAAAGGGTGTTTCCGATCTTCAGCTTAACTTTACCACTCTTGTACACAATCATTTTGCCAATTAGACCAGGTGGCATTTCATCCAACTTGAAGAGTTTTCCCTCATTTTTTCGACCTCCAGGACGTTTAGAGTTCACCTTAACATCAGCATCTGGTTTTTTAATCATAGGAAAAACTGGTGGTAATTTCATGAAGATTCTTGCCTCTGGGTTTTCCTCCTGCCAACAATTTGCTCAAAACGAAGTTGAACTTGATAGTTTAAAACAAGTTGAACTTGATAAACTTTATTTACTGAATTTTGGGTTAATTACCAAAAGGCCAAGCTCTGCTGCTGAATTTGCTGTGTTTTCATCATAAGTTCTGGATTCTGCAGCCTCCCCAAACTCCTCCTTATCAAGATATTCTATCAGAACAATATGTGGAGTTAAAGCCACTTGACTTAGCAACATAGCATAACAACGAAGTATGTTTTATTTTCAACCTAACTAACTCCAGTGGAAGAATGATAATATACAAATGTAACGGTAAATCTAAAATATCATAATCATGTAAAATTGCAGAGCAAATTTAGTTACCAAATTGAATAATTTGTATCACTCAACTCTTATAAAATTGAAATTATATCTAATTTACTATACTAATTTTCTTTCCTTTTTGCTTTATAATCAAAGATGAATCCTGGAATTTACCTGGGTTGCCGGAATATGGTTTCCTCAAGGGAAGAGCTATTGGATAATCACTGTATAGGTCCTGTAGCAACATCCAACAGCCGATATTTTAGGATGGAACAAACATGAACAATTACACTTGCAGTTACATTCACACGGGAAACAAATTGAAACAGAAAATGAATAAAACATCATATTTATTTCGCTCAGTACACTTACCCATGGTTCTTTGTATTCTTTCCCGTTTGCATCTGTGGTTCAACATCGACATAATATGGTTAATAAAAGGAAGTGTCATGCAGGAAAAATTCTGTGGCAATTTATAAAATGAAAACGCCTTTGGTCAAGACATACCAACGAATGCTGAACTTTCAATGCCATTGGTCTTGCTACCAACACCATATGGCTTGTGATAAGTTGATTGGCCTCCAGAACCAAAAGCAATTTGTGAAGCTGACACTGCAAACCATAAAATGGGCAAAGCAATTTTAGAAAGCTACAAGGTTGATTCTACTCCTGCTATAGTGAAAAGGGCATCATTTCCGACATCATCATGAGATCTCAGACGATATGGTAAGCATTCAAATTTTCCAATTTCATCTTTATTTTTTATGTATGAATCAAGCATTCATAGGAAGGACACAAGCATTCGGGATAGTTAGCTCTACGAAAAACAAGTACGATGTGTTCGCTTAAAATGTGAAAGCTGAAACTATTAACAAAAAGAGAGGTTGTTTTCATTCTCAAATTATTTCGCATGACATGAAACATATTATGAGTAAATGTTCCCGAATTGCTCATCGCGATTAAGCAAACCGAATCACATACAAGCAAAATGGTCACTTTAAAGATGGTTATTTATCAGTAAATTCAATTTCATTACTTTATTTAATGGTTGAAGCATCTCTAAGTACTTTCACTATTTGAGATTTATCAGAGAAGTAGGATTTGTTTTCGAATAAATTTCCAAATGGTGGAAACGGAAAATCAATGGCTCCAATTTAAGAGTCACATAAAGTTATTCATCGCAGTTTAAATATCAAAAGTAGAACTAAGATACTACTATACCTTTTTTCTCAACCTTCATCCTTGCTTTCCTCTCATTTTCCTACAAAAATATAATAAATAAAATTTCAGGATAACAAAATTAAATTGAAGTCAGAGAAAACTTGAACAACGGATTATCAATCAAATTAAAATAACATATACATGGAAACGCCGAAGGAGTTCCTTAGCCTCTGCCGCTGATGCTTTATTATCCTCCTCGACCATTTCACTGCAGAAACAGAACAAACAACAGAACCATCAAATTAAGTCAGTGTTGTTAAATAGCAGCACTATAGGCCTACAACACTATTGAGAAACAGAAGTTGAACAAATTAAACTACTGTTGTTCTGCGATATGATATTTAGTTTAAAATGTCTTCAAAATCGACTGATTAGCGGAATCTCAACAAACGGCTATATTCTAATATCCGCAATTGATAACACTAACAGAAAACTATTGTCAACAGATTGATACAAACCTTTTAACTTCTATCTTTGGCACTCTTTTAGGTGGAGCTTTTGGTGCATATTTTACCTGCAAAAAAAAGCATATGTCATTTGCATTAGCTAAAAGAAAATTGAAACAAATAAAATATCTAACAGAATGAAATCAAATCAAACCTTTCTTCGTGCTGGAGGCTTTGAATCAAAGTTTGAATCCATAATAATCCAATGCCGATCTTAAAATAAAACCGAAAAAAAAAAACAATTATAATTTAGATATTAGCTCAATGATTTGCAATACAATAAATAAACAAAACAATAATGTGAACGTCGCGCAATGCATAGTTCAATCTTCAATGCAATGTTAATTATTGAAAGCAGAGCATGTTAACCTGTAAAGTGAAAAAGAATGGAAACTGAATTTACCGGAAACCTCCGCGTGATGATCGGAAATCGAGCGATTGCGGTGGAAAGACGCCGGCGAGAGGTTTTGGTTGAGGCTTAATGCAAGAGACGGCTGCGATGGTCTACTACAGAATTTAGAACTCGCAGGGTTTTTACTCTTTTTTTTTAATAAAGTATAAAACCTTATAAGGTAATTAGATTACTAAATTACCCTTATCAAGCGCTCATTAATATCATCGATTCAGTGGTTTTTTTGAGTTTCTGAAAGACGGTTATGAAGTGGCTACGAATACGTGCAACAGATTCGGCTGTATGGCATTTGCTCCAGTATTTATAATCAGTTCAACTTCAACCTAAACCGAAAGTGAAAACCGACCTTACTCTCTCTCTTGTTTCGTGAAAATACAATATAGAAGTTTGTACCGTATTTTTTTACTAGTATTTTGTAAAATGAAATTTATTTATCAATAGAATCTAATTTATTTAGGTATTTTGCAATTAAATTTGGTTAGTTAATATTGATATATTTTTGAGAAAATATTGAAAAATTATTCAAATATTTTTATATGTATGTATTTCAGGTCAATTATATTGATATCTGATAAATCACCTTTAAGAAGCTATTCTATAGGTAAGTATGAAATAGATAAGTATAAAGAATCTAAATTTCGAATACATTCAACGGTTCTTCTTAATCCACACCTATCAAACAACAGAGTGTTATTTCCTCTCCTTTATATAGAGAGTCTATCAATTCACGTTCAGTTCCAAATTCAGTTTCAATTCACTATTCTCCCTTATATATTGACTTGAGCATTTAAGTCTTAACCTTACCGGGCAAACCCCTCTCCATCATATTAGAAGCTTTGTTCCACCGCTATCATCGATCCTTACTACATTTCTGATTTCGGTACGGATCAATGACGATGGTTGTAGGAATTAACTTCAGATTCTTGTATTTTCTACGATTTCAGGTTCATTCTCTGATTCGTCCGTTTGAAACCTTTTAAGTTCATCATATTAAGAGCTCTTAAAATCGAACGCAGAGATCTGTCACGTTTAATCCAATCTAATAGCATATCAACTTTGATTTCATAAATTTCCAATTTTTGTATTCTTACACTTCTTAAGAATGAGTGTATCCAAAGTTATTCGCTTCATCGCAGTACGAGAAGCTAATGTTGTTGTCGCCATTCAAACGACAATCAATCAACCACCTCCACCTCCCTTGCAAGATGTGGTGAATCCAACTGCAGAGGTTATGTTACATCTATATCTACTTCAGGCTCCTCAGATGGTTGGATCCGTCCAAGTGCCTCTCATTGGACCTTAGATTTTGCCGCTAGTGACACAACCTAAATCCTTACCTGGTTTCCAACTATTGAGGTTTAACCTTGTGTTGCAAGGCACCAATGAATTGTTGAATAACTTGTAAAATATCGTTTAATAGTAAAACTCGTATGCAATAGAGGGAAGGTTGTTTCGTCTCGAAAAAAGCTTGAACAATGCACCTCCATGAGGAAACGACGTTTAAGAGGCAATATTGGTAAAAAAAAAAAAAAAAAGTACAGGTATGCATGTCCCCCTGCAAAGGCAAGGAGACTAAGAGGTTTTACTAGGTTTATAACACGCTTTGGTGGTAAAGGCTTGCTTGTGACATCGAGAAACCTTGTATGGTGGTGATTTATGATACCTGTTCACATGACGTGAGAGCCCGACTAATGCCCAGTGATGCCTGGTGGTAGCGTACACTCACTAGTGGTCGTGTGTTAAGACGACTGTGAGCGTTGTGCTCTTTAGAGTGTTAAGAGTGTGTATTACTTGGGGTTTGTCTTGCTCCTATTATAAGAGGGGTATTTATATAGGCTTTCAAGCCTAAGGTTTCCTCGAAAAGTGTCATCGTGCACTTAGTCATTAGTGGTCCATTGAATCCTTATTTTCAAGGGAGTCGTGGGTTAGTTAATGACCTTGACTTTCTCTCCGCCCTATAAATATCTTATCCCATGTTTTCCACATAGGGGCGAGGGAAAACTACAGGGTGAGACGACACCTTCCTTAGGGAGACCTTTCATCGTTTCCTCTTTTAGAGCGGTCTAAGGGCATTGCCTTATGTAACACCCTGAAATATGATTAATCTATTTAATCAAATTATTCATGTTTTTATTTAATTATTTATTATGTGATACACTTTTAACTAAATATATTATGAGCTTTATGTGTATGTGGTATATAGTGGGGCGTATTTAGAGTATTGGTGTGTGGGTAGAATGATTAGAATAGTTTAAAGTAATTAGAATTAATAGTTGTTTTTAATTAAAATAAATGGAAATAGAGGATTTTGGTAGAAAATAGTAGCTATGAAGAAATAATGGAAGTTGTGAGAATTATAATAAGAGTTGGACCAGAGTGTAATTAGTAAAAGGTTAAATTAGGTTTTAGAGATCAAAAGGGATTATTTGAGCTTTTGAAGAGAAAGTACGTGAAGTTATAATTTTTGGAGAAAAAGAGGCTAGGGCTTTAAGAGGGAAAGACTCAAACCACCAACCTTAATAAAATTTAAAATTTGCTGCTAAAAATATGAGGTAAAGGGAGAAAGTGCTCCTATATTTGTTTTTTGCATGGAAAGGTAGAAGATGGACTCTTACTCTCCTTTAGGAATTATGTGAAATCTATTATGAATTGTTGTTTTTGTATGCTAACCTAAAAATTGGTGATTGAATGTATTATTATCTAATTTTCGTGACCAAATTTGTATGTGTGTACTTCTGTTTATGTCTATATGATGTGTGTCATTGTTGATGTTTTGTAGGTTTGAAACATAAACATGAAATCCATGAAATTTAAGAATGAATTATTTAAATATGTAAGTTATCATGTTATTATGATGGTATTATAAGGGGTATAATTTTTTGGATGTCCTAGGGTGATTGGGAAGCCAAAAATTAGAGTTTCAATGGAACTCCCATGGCTATTACGTGTTTCTGCAACCTGGTGCAGGGTGATGGGTTAATCGTCACACGCCTTAAGTAGTTGACGGGCGTCAACACTGGGATGGGGAGTCTGTCATGGTCTCTAGGCTATGCTTTATAAGTTGGTAGTCATTGAATGACGGGTTGGGGATTTTAAGTGGATGACAAGTGCCACCTTAGTGACAGGCTACCCGTCATGCTGCAGAAGGGCTGATTTCATCCCAAATCGTGTTGTTCGAGATGTCGGTTCATGATTTTGATGTCGTTTTGTAGTTTGGTCGATATTTGGCTATTGTTTGGTTGTGTTGGTGTTGTTAATTAGTTATTATAAGCTTAATTAGTCTTGGTGGAATTATCATTGTTGAATGATGGTTAATTACTTAAATGATGTTGCTTACATAATGTAACAATTGTATGGGATGCATATGATGTTGTTTTGTGATGTTATATGATGCAAAAATGACTAGTATTGTTGTGAGATGTGTGCTTATATGGTGATTAATTATGTGTTATTGATGTGATGGTAAATATTTCAGAAGGAAGGACTATTTGTATGATTGCATGCATTGTTGTTATGATTGTTGGGTAGTAGTTCATAAGGGGGAATTACTATTTGTAACACCATACTTCCCGACTCAAAAGTTAAATAAATAAAACATGTAAAACACGTATAACCTCCAAATAGAGTGCTACTCAAACATATAATAACTCATATTTAAACCACATATTTAAAAACAAATCATTTGATAAGTAACGAAAAATTAGGAAATAATTGAAATAAAAGCCTCAACAACCAGAAGTTTGAAAAATGGTTCAATGTTAAAAACAATTGAAGATATGTAACATAATAGCATGTCCACTCGTGTTACATATCAGAGCGACTCTAACTACAGACTCGAACGATAAGTAACTAAAGAGGCACAACATTGTCCTCAACCTCAAGCTCCTACTTAGATACCTAATTATATGTACTCTAGAGGAACATAAACGCAACAATACAAAATGAGATGAGAATACATTGAAATAATAAATGGTGCATAAATTGTTAGGATATATTCACGCACTACAAAATCATTCGCATATGAGAATGCACATCAACATCATGCACTCACATCTCACCCACATCATAATCAATCACCAATTGCACAAATCATACAAGAGCATACATCATTACATACACATCTTGACATCATGTAATATAAAGCAATAATGACTCGACTCATGTTCGTCACGGTTCCCACTCTCAACTAGACTTGCAACTGAACTCTACATGTATATAGTACCGACTCAACAATTGGTTCTTCATATGAACTGGGTTCCAATCTCTGTGAACCTCGAACCCTACTCTGAGCTCTAAGCCCCCACTCTAAGATTGGGACAACTCACTATTCCCCACTCTGAACTACCAAACATGCCTCTTTCACAACACGACAACATATGATGCATGACATATCACAATGCAATGACAATAAATCAACGAATACAACTCCATTCTGACTGTAAATGATTGCATAACAACATAGCAAATATTACAGCCTTAATATGACCTTAATCAATCATGCACTTAATGAAATACAAGTAGTTCTCACTCTGAACCACTCGCCTCATCAATCATTGACAAACATGTACAATTATCAAATAATTATACACATGATTCACAGCCTATGTCCATGAAATGATCATACAGTTACACAACATATTATCTCACAAAAGCACTGCCACTATGTAGCTCTACATGTTATCTCACTAACTCTTTGAACAACACTCCATTTGGATTTACAAAACCAAAGTCATTTGATCATCATTAATTATTATTAATTGTTAATTTTATTAGTAATATAATTC